GCTAATTGAACTATTTTATACCCAAGTTATATGAAATATTAACGATGGATGTCAAATGAAAGAGCTTCAAGAAATACTTAGTTTGATAGTTTAGAATATTTTTGATGTGCTTGAGGGTTGCTCCGCTTAAAGGGCTAAACTAAAATAATTTAATAAGTTAAATGAATTACTAACCGATGGTAATCAACGGAAATGGATTTAAAATCCTTTATTTAAGAACTATGTTAAGGATGGTTGCCACGTGTTTAAAAAATGAATTTCCGCTTAACTCATCAGATACTTGAAATATTTATAACAATGTCAGGCGAAAAATATTTAAGGAAATTTTAGTTCGAAAATAATTTTTAAGAGGGTTGCCGCCTATTTTGAAAGTGGTATTTTGTTTAATTATACATAAGTTACATGAAATTTTGAAATATGGTTATGAAAAGAACGAGCGTTAAGAAATCTTTAAATTGATCATTTGTTTTTTTTTTGTTGAAAAAATTAAGCTCAAATTATTTAATGAGTTAAAAGGATTGTCAAAAGATGGGTATCAATCGAAATGGGTTTAAAAATAGTTTATTTCTAAAATGTATTTACGAGAGTTGCCATGTGTTTAAAAAAACTGAATTCAACTTAATTCATCAGTAAATTGAAATATGTAAACAATGCCAGGCGAAAGATTTTAGTTTCAAAATACCTTTAAAGAGGTTGCCACCTGTTTGAAAATTCAAATTTGTTTTACTTATACGAAAGATACATAAATGAATTATCGAAATATTATTGTCAAACGAAAGAGTTTTAAGGAAACTATAGGCTGAAAAATTTTTAATTAGAATTGCCATCTATTATTATTTTTTTTTGAAGGTCATCACATCTGCAACGATATTTCGAATTTCCAAAATTAGAAGTCAAATTGAAGAACTAGGATTCTACATAGATGTGCACAGGTTTTATTTTTTGAAGTTACATGAAAACCAACACCATGCGAGACCTCTCATCACTCAGATATGGTTAGATTAATCATTAGGAATATTTTTCGAGGTTTTTGAATAGGTTTCACCTGTTTAAAAAATTTATTTAAATGTTGGCGCTTTGGCGCCTTGCGGGTTCACTAGTATATAGATATTTTTCATTATTTCTGTTGATTGAAAAAGTTCTTTGCTGCTGCTGTAAATTTTCTTGAAGCAATAAATATACGAGCAATTTGTTCTTTAGAACTGCATTTTGATTTTAGAAGAATATTTCTTTTCCATTTCTTATGCATCGTTTTTTATGAATTTTTCGCTTTTCTTGAGAGCTGCAAACAGCCCATAAGCAACGTAAGCCCACGCCTGCAAAATTGATTCTTTAAGAGCAAACCAAATTTAATAAAATTCATTTACGACAATAAAAACGAGAGAATTGCTATCACCTATTTGATAGATTTGTTCCGTTTTATCCTGTTTTGTAATAATGCAATTAAAAAGCGTTTGTAAATTTCAACTCATTGTAAGACATTTAACAGTGAACATCAAAAGTTTTCATATTAACGATTACTTATGTCACTAAAAGAGCTGGTTCTTCCTTACATCAAACATATTTCATTAATCCACCTATAACATCTTTAAATC